GTTATTCACTTCACCTGTCAGTGCTCACAATGTTATGGCTGATCGGAAAGGAAAACATGAGTACAAATGTGAGCACAAAAGAAGAAAAAAGACAGAGTCTCACAGTTACATCTCATCAGATGACAGGCCTCTAAAAAGGAGATCATGATGGGAGTGGGAGTAAAATGCTCTTAATGCAAATGAATTAATTAAGTTTCAGGAATGACGAGAGATCACAGAACTAGGAATTACATGACGGTGGAGTCACTGAATTCCAATAAAGCAGAATTCTTCTGTGAGCAATTAAAAATGCAAATACAACAACATTAAGCTGCGTTTTTTTGTTTTGTTTTTTTTTATAGTTTGGTCCGTTATGTATAAGTATTTATTTCCAAAGTATCCTATTTGTTGAACTAGGGTGCTGAGAAAGCTGCCTATCTTTAGTAGCCACTTCCAGTCTGTTTGTAACCATGATGGTGCCGCTCCGGTTGACTAAGCACTGAGTCAGGCTGAAGGAATGTGAGACAAAACCTATATTTAAAAAGGAAGACAGTGGGGTAGCTTCCTGTCCACATTTCAGTGGGAATTCCCTCTTATTTACACTTAGAGTTTCTTATCGACTGTCAGAAATTGTAGTCGCACTGGGACCCGGTTCAAGACGGTGTGACTTGTTTAGCTGGTGGAGTCTGACACTTGTGCTGTGTGCTAAAATACTGCAAACCTGATTGAATTGCAAAGATCTTTCCACATTTTTAGCACCCAAGGTATCTGAGCGAAGTGCCCAGAGAGGTTTTATCTTATTCACCCACAAGGAACACAGTTCATTCACAAGACATTTAATGCAAATGGAGAGGTGGTCCAAACAAACCTTTAGAAAGACTCTGAGAGAAGAGTCCCTCATCACCGGCTGCAAGTGTAAATTGCGTTCTTCAAATTTAAGACCAACCTAACAACTAAAGCTTAAGCCCTTTTTTATTTGAAGTGGTCTCTTGGCAAACTTTTAGTCTTGAAGTTTTGGTCTTTACATGTTTCCGCTTGTCTCGACTATCTGTATTTTAATGTTTTAGTTTTCAAAAGCCCCCGCTAATCTCAGCTATTATCTGTTCCATTCTTTCTATTGAAGTGTTTCAGCCCTTTTGAAGTGACACTGAACCCTTCTATTTAAAGTATTGATCGTTCTGTGTTTTGTTCGAGTAGAAGGCAGAGTTTGGTTATCATGGCAACGCTCGTCCTCGCTGTAACAGGGATGAATAGGAGCATTATGGTGGGAACTGACTCGGTGGATGGAACGAGGCGCTGCCCTTGAGTGCTGCATTTTTCAGAGCTTGAAGTGATAGCAGCGCGGCCTCTGTGGTTTGGCTGATAAGCACCTCTCCTGCTGTCAGGGCCCTCAGCTGCAGCTGTGCCTCGGCCATTATACTGTACAGGATTTACAACAGTCCAGGGGTTTGTCTCCTCTCTCACCATTCACCCTCCCTCTGTAACACACTCGGTTAAGGGTCTATGTTGGGGTTACTGAAGTTCAAGGTTCTGTGTAAGCTTGAGTCTTCATTGTTCTGATCATAGTGGGAAAGCTTTTAAGCTTTTCTAAGTTTTCTTGCTTTTCAAGTATGTAGAACAGCACCAGCCTTCTTCTGCTCATTATTATTATTAGATGATGATCTTATTCTCTTGTTGGAGGACTGACACTAATCTTTTAACATGCCCTGAGTGTGTGTTTTTCTGTTACTTGGTGTTATGTTGTTGATGTTGTTGTCATTTTGTTGACGTTGTCCAGCAAGTGTTCTTGCTGTGCTTACTGATAGATAATAAACCTTGTGACATTCTTTGTCTCAGTACTCCGTTTTAAATCCACATCTTTAATCATGTCCAGAACATGAAACTGAAATGTAAGAACAGATGAAGTGCTTGAAGGTACTGTATCACTCATTACACTGGTTTCCAGATTCACAGCCATCCTCATTTGAGCTTGTCTCCATGGTAACAACGACACAACAGAGGGACTTAGTGTTGACTGAGATGTAACCAAACAGATCTTGACCAAAAAAAGCAGGCTGTGAAGCAGGGAGTCACACTGAGCCTTGGAAATGGACTCTGATGACTAATGCTCCCAGGATGCACTACAAGGGGCCGTCCGTGACGGATGATTGTGGCATGCCAGATTACATACCATTCCTCCATCGAGGCCTCGGCTTTAATGATTCATGCCACTGTAGCTCTGCTATTTAGGTTAGATGTGTTCAACAGCCTCAGTGCTCAGACTGTCAAGGTTTATCTTTCAGCAGTGACTGCTGATGGAGGCTCATGCTGTTGTGTGATAAACTGTCACATTTAGTTGTGCTACTGAGTTGTACAAATGTTTGCACAAAACTGAAATGGGATTTTGTAATTCTTAAGTGATAGCAGGCGGCTTAAGTCCTTTAGAGTATTAACTATTAGGCTTATAGCTATTAGTATTAGGTTTTAAAGTATTAACTTAGCTCAGAAGTTCTCTATTTTGGAAATGTAAGAAATACACAGTTGGAATATTTTTGAATGATTAAACCTTAGCTTCAGTACTACTGTTTCCCCTCTCTAAATTCGAATGAAAAGATGACACATTCAGTTTTTAAAAATGTGGAAAAAGTGAAGTCTGTTTTATTTTATATAGTCAGCAATCACAAATTAGTCTCAGAATTATTAACATATTCAAACCTTTTGGTATATGTTCATACCTTCATTATAATACTACCGAAAATAGTACTGAAAACACTGTATGGTACCGACTCAGGCCTTTAAAATCAATATTGCACTATCGATGTCTTTGACCTCTTCCCAGTCGATACTGGCACTGGTTTCGGTCTGGTGTTCACAGACCACTAATGCTGCCTGTTTTCAGTGTTATTCAGGGTTTTGTGCAGATTTTAGAAATACAGAACTACTCTATTTCAAAATATAGACATTTTTCTGATACTCATTCCTACTCGAAGGATAATGAAATTAGGGCTGGAGCTAACAATGTTATTTTCACCTGTTATTTATTCTTTATTTCCCAGTCACTTTATAGACCTAAAAATGTTGTTTCACAAACAATAAAACACTGTTAATATCCATAAACAACCCTGCGTGCTTATACTGATGTGGCCGTTGTCTCATTTTTCATTGCAGTTGTCTTTTGTGTTAATGGTTTAATCTATGAAATGTCAGGAAGTCCAAGCTAAGGTTTTCACATGTCTAGTTAAAAATTCAAAAATATTCCGTTTACAATGAGTTACAATGATAGAAAACAGAGAAAAGCAGCACACTGTCACTTTGGAGAGGTTGCACTAATACAATGTGTGCAGCTAATCAGTTAACTAATTGTTGGAGCTCAGTCTTCTGATCAGGAAAGATCTGGTTTTACTCGTAAGATGTCAGAAGTTACTCAGCTTATTTGGCTAACCAGCTGGCATTAACGTGGAGTTTAGTTTTGTAATCCATTGATTAGTCTCTGTTGGGTAACATTCAGAAGTACTAATGTGGGTTAGATGTGTGGCTGTTGTTGACAGCCGTGATGATGAATGAAACTATCTGTCAACATCCCGGTGTTCTTTTGTGGCTTGTTGCGTTTTTGTTTTTCAAGTTCAGGAGAAAACAACAACAAAATGCTGTGACGGTGACATGCAACAGCCTACAGAGCTCTCATTCATGCAACAAGCGGCTTGTGTTAATTCCCTGTTGGGTATATACAGGCTGCAGTTGTATTGTAGTGCCAGTTATCCAGTAAGCTCTGTTTAGTAACAAGCTATTGTTTGTTTGTGCACGGCCACGCACATGATTCACAAAGTATGACTCACAGAGAGACGGACCAAAAAAGAAGAGAGCCGGGTCTCACAGATGGTCATAATTAAAGGGTTTCATCCCGAAATGAGATGTCAGACATTTTTAACCCGATGTTCCGCATGGTAACGATGGCATGTTTTCTCTGTCTTCTCCTTCTAATCTGCTCAAAGCAGATATTTGAAGAGCTTGTTCCAGCATGAAAGTCAACCATGACTCTTAGCACAAAATTTAAGCATATAACCGCTACTATAACTAAGTACTTGGTGTCAAATAAAAGTCTAAAACTGAGGTTGTTAGTTGAACTAAAATGTCTTATTTTCCTTCTCCTGTGTCGTAGAGCTCGACGCAGGAGATCGGCGAGGAGGCAGAGGAGGACGCCATCTTCACCATCACGCTGAGGAAGGTGCAGCTTCATCAGTCGGCCAGTAAGGGGCAACGATGGCTGGGCGTGGAGACGGACTCTGCCCTGAGCCTCTACGAGACCTGCAAGGTGCGGACCATCAAGGCCGGCACGCTGGAGAGGCTGGTGGAGTACATGGTGTCGGCGTTCAGGGGTAAAGACTCCACCTACGTCACCATCTTCCTCTGCACCTACCGCTCCTTCGCCACCACCAAGCAGGTGCTGGATCTCCTGCTCCACAGGTACGGTGATGGTAGATGACACACCTGTCTGTACACGAGCCGGGGGGAGAAATCTTAGGGGTCTCAAGATGATTAAAGGAGGAAGAAATCAAAAAAGCCCTCTGAAAATGAACAGAAAATTTGACATTTGTATTTTTATTGCATTTTTATGTCATTTCCTATAAATATAATCACACTTTAGAGCTGTCTGATATTGTTTGGATTTGAGGAGATATATTTCATTTCAAATGGCACAAATGTAAAAAAAATTCTTCAGTGTTCTGCTTTATTATTTAATTCCTTGCTGTATATAAGCTTTGGTTTCATTTATATGTTGTGTTAAATATGTTACATGGAAATATACTTTGGGAAAAAAAAAAAAATTGGGGTTACAGGGGCTAAAGTTAGAAAACAAACTTTTTCTGAATGCAAAAAAACAAGAAAATTACAATAGGTGTGTTTTTAGACACTGTGCACACAGGGTCCTCTTTATTTCAGGTTCATTGTATGACATGTTAAAATTAAGTGTTTTTTTTTTATTACCTTGGCTGAACAAGACTGAACTTGTGTTTCTTTTTTAGGTATGCCAAGCTCCAAAATGTCCCTGCAGCCACAGCACACAGAGTCTCCCAGGACGACTGCACAGAGCTGAGAAAGTGAGTCTGCTGCAACCTTCAGTGTCGAGCTGCCAACATTAATCACCGAGTACATTCACAGCACTGAGCCTCATCCCACTCCTCCCCGGGTTAAAGGGATATCAACAGTTTGAAGTTTTAGTGGGTTATTTTTCTTTGCTAGACACCTGTCAGACTGGGCGGGTGGGGGTTGATAAAACACAGTTCACGAACTGATGAAATGTAATAAATCACAAGAAAAACACTTAAGCTTTTACTGACCTTTGTAGCTTCAGTTTTACTAAAATGGATCATCAGCATTGCTGGCATCTCTTGTTGACCCCACAGGGCTTAGTCAGTTCAACTTTTCTTTATTCTCTTAAATAGTTTGTTAAAATGCCTCAGTGACACCCATGAATGACCAGATACCCTGTCATCCATGTTAGCATAACTAGGTAGGTGCTGTCACTACACTTTCTTTGATAAGGTTTGCTTTCCTCACTCAAAGAATTTATTTAGCATTTATATTTCGGCAGAAATCACCTTCAATTTGTACCTCAAATTTATACTTCATGGTTATTTTACAATTTATATCACAACATCTTTTCCTTTCTGTGTTGCAGCACTGTTTCATCCATCCTGGGCGCGTGGTTGGACCAGTACTCTGAGGACTTCTGGAGCCCTCCGAACTACGACTGTCTGCACCAGCTCCTGTCCTACCTTCACCGCCACTTCCCAGGCTCCGACCTGGAGCGCCGCGCCCGCAACCTGCTGGCCCACTTCCATCGTCGACAGCAGTGTGAGCCTGATCCTGATGGTATGAAGGCAGGACAGGAGAGGGACAACAGGACGGGGACCTCAGAATAGAGGGGTCCCAGTTGAAACTAGTCAAGATGTACCTAAGAGAAATGCTCATTTGTTTTCATGTTGAGAATTTGACTTCAAACTTTTTTTTTTTTTTTAGCAGTGCAAACAATTTGTCCTCATGTACAACAACACATAGACAGCCGCACAGCTGCAGACACAATGTCAGTTCACATGTTGTAATACTTGTTGTTGCAAAGAACAGTTTGGTTGTGCAAGTGATAAGGACTAGTTGACAGTCGCTATCAGCACACATGAGATTGAGCACTGAGTGAAAATCCTAGGGAGGGGGGGGGCGGGCGGGCCAAGGTCGAAGACACAATGGGAAGAGCAGGAACTGTGTTTAGGTTGAGCTCAGGTTGAGGCAGTGTTGTGAAAAAGTTTTTTTTTTTATCATTTCAGTGGAGCACATCGGCTGCCCTTTTGCTACGCAGGAAGAGAGTGGCTTTGAGGACGAGCTTCCTGCTTTTAGTTTCCTGTCGTTTGACCCCATCATGGTGGCAGAGCAGTTCACCCTCATGGACGCGGTGAGCATGTTTCCCTTTCCCATACCAACAGATGTAGTCTCTTTCAATCCCCACTCAGTTCCACAGGCACTCATCTCTAGACTTTCCCAGACAGTTTGGCCTTCATGTCAAAGTAGGTCCGGTGTTTAGTTTCTGCAACTACTGATTATTTTTATTATCAATTAATCTGCCAATTATAATTTTTAAATAATCATTTAGTCTATAAAATGTCAGAAAAAAAGACATTTCATCATTTCCTAAAGGTGATATTTTCAAATGTCCTTTTTTATTTCCGATCAACAGTCTATATATTTATATTTGGTTTACGATGCAGTTGCAGCAGGGACTGTTTTAAAAACTATCTTTTAGTTAATTTAAAGAAGCTTTGGTCTTCCATGATTATGATTTGATGATGATTTTTAGATGCCAAACAGCCTTTTAAACTATATTTTTAATGGGTTAGGGTTACCATTGATTTACTATTAAAGCTGGGGAATCCCATAATGCCCATAATGCATCTTTTTGTGAGGCCCTTTTGACTCCTTCCCTTCCAGACCCAGAAGAAATTATGTCTTGATTTAATAATTTCATCTGAAATCCTAATTACTAGTAAACTTCCTGTGTGAAATTACCCTTTAAACCACATAATCATAGTCTCACTTACTTAACACATGCAAATTTCCTGGTTTGGTGGTTAAGATAAAGTATTTAAATGCTGTATTCATGCTGTTCTATAAATGTTTGACATGTCTCTTGTTTCTCTCTCTGTCCAGGATCTGTTTAAGAAGGTGGTGCCCTACCACTGTCTGGGGGGGATCTGGTCTCAGCGAGATAAGAAGGGGAAGGAGCACCTGGCTCCCACAATCAGAGCCACTGTGGCCCAGTTTAACTCTGTCACCAACTGCGTCATCACTACCTGCCTGAGCAATCCGACGCTGAAGCCCAACCAGAGAGCCAGGCTACTGGAGAGGTGGATAGACGTGGCTCGGGTGAGCAACCACAATCTGGTTTACTTAGTTTATTTGTATTTAAAAACAGATGAGACAGATATTTTAGACATTTGAAGGTCTCCTGGTAGCTCATGAGACCGTAAGGAATATGGAATATTTGAAGTCCTGGCACAGTTTGTTGTGTGTGTTTCTGACTGGATAATTCTTCTTGTTGCGTTCAGGAGTGTCGGATACTGAAGAACTTCTCTTCGTTGCGAGCCATCCTCTCCGCCCTTCAATGTAATGCTATCCACCGCCTGAAGAGGACCTGGGAGGAAGTGTCACGGTAGGTTTCCAGTCTTGGCTGCTCCATACATATTGTTACATACTGTAAATGCATAGATTTCATATTGTTAATGGCAGAGGGGCCGTTGGGGGTCTTAATTTGTTTGTTTTTCCTGTGCTGACTTCTGCGTCTGTTCACAGGGAGAGTTTCCGCACCTTCCGCGAGCTATCCGAGATCTTCTCAGATGACAACAACTACTCCCTCAGCCGAGAGCTGCTGGTGAAGGTAAGTTCACAGCTTCTTAACAGCGCACACACTAATGGTCACCTCCCAAACGAGCAGCACACACGTACTCTCAATAGTGACTTTAAATTTTAACATGTTGTAGCCACTTTGTCCACTTCTCCTGGTTTTAGACTTTACCTTGAGTTCTGGGATCAGTTGAAGGTCTAATATTTGAGTGTCAGTATCGCCCAGTGCTAATTCCCATATGTTTTTATCTATTAACAGTTTGAATTTCCAGAAAATGTAGTGTACAGTGTCACAATATACTGTACATTGCTATTGTATAAAATTACACATACCGTGATAACGTCAATCAGAAAAAGCTTCAGAAAAAGAAATAACAGCATAGACATAGACAGAAAAAACAGTAAAAAGTGTTTCCCTCTGATCAGCCCTTAATGGGACAAATAAATCTATCAATTTGCGTCAATTATATAACGTCTGTGCATGGCGGCTGAGCAGATGGCAGCAGGATGCATGGCTTGGTGACCCATCCCATCTGTCTCATAGCAGCTGCAGAGGAACATCCACAGAAACATCCTGCGGGGCAGAACACCTTGAACCATGTTCTTGGATCACAGTATCTATATATTACTCATGATATCCTGGGTGGGCTCCCTGTAGCTGAAAGATAGGCGTCATCATTAGTCTGATTTATGGAGTTTAATGCAGAGAGGCGTTGACACCTTCTGAGTGTTTTGCAGCTCATACTGACGCACTCGGTACAAGGGCAGTGCGAGCTGACACACAGAAATGTGACTGAACAGGAAATGAGATGGCAAATGTACCTGCTTCATACAGTATACGGCTGTTGTCATGAGTTTCAAAATAAAACATCACAAAAGACCCACAGTGGCAATATTATACTTCCTACATCCTCCAATTTAGGGGAACTATAATTATAATTGGAGTTATAGTATTTGAAGTAGTAATTCCTCTTTAGTTATTATATCTAAAGACTGTGTTTCACGATAAATATCAATATTATGATATAGTACCATAATAGAGGATTTTATATATATATTGCCCACCTGAAATATCTGATGCTCAGCAAAGACTTACCAAAACCGACAATGTGTCAGTCAATCTCTCACTACTGTTCTGACTTCCTGTCTGTGGCTCTCAGCCCCACACCCATTGGAAGCTATTGAAAACGTGCATCTTTTAAAACAGGTCACCACTTTCGTTTCATTTTCAAAAAAGGTTTGGTGATTTCCTAAAGCAGTTTGTCACTGTAGATTTAACAAACAGGAAGAAAATGTGCACTTTCAGGGAACTATTTTCAGTGGTGGATTAATCCGTAAATGGGGCTCTGGTGAGCATTTGGGACAGCAGGACAGTGCATGTGTGATTGAGTCAAAATAACTACTATAGTGTAGTGTGTGTGTGTGTGTGTGTGTGTGTGTGTGTGTTTATTGTAATGAACAGTGTTGCTCATTGATGTCTTTTTAATAGTTTGTGGACAACAATGGCACAGAGGAATATATAATAATAATAATAATAATAATAATAATAATAATAATAATAGTAATAATAGATATATCAAGCTTTGGATACACACACAATGCTTGTTGTTAGTAGATATATTCATTGTTGGTTTTGTTTTTTTCAGTGGATTTGTTGGAAAGTACAGAATAGATACAGACATCCTAAAAAAAAAAATTCTAATGAGGTAAAAAATTGCTGCCTTCAAATGAAACTAACTGAGGTTTATTGTACATAGATAATACTTTAATCTGATAAATGGAAAAACTCAAACAATCAATGTGTCAGAATGAAGACAGGAGATGGTGAATTCATTCTCACCTATTTATAAACCTGAGTAGTTTGCTGATGTAACGGTGAGTGAACACCCTGGGCTTCCTCTGAGGGAAACCCAGCTGACGTCAAGGGGAGGAAACCTTTGGCAGAGGTAGATAACTGTGATCTAATGCCTGTGTAAGAGATCACCTCAGGGCGTTGCCTCTGTCTTGCTCTATCTGCTCAGTCCAGGCTACGTTCACTTTACTCCATCAGCTCAAGTTACACAGGCAGCACAAGGCCTCTGGGCCTTACATCACTCTGAGGAATCTGACTGAGAACACCAAGCGGTGGATTTTCTCCCACTTTTTGCCTCTGAAATTCAGCAACAAGGAAAGAACATGAATATATAGTCACATTCATGTTCATGCTTTGTAATTACAGAATTTGACATTTGAAAACTAAACTAACTACATATCTACTTTCATGCACTTTTAGGGTTGAATATATTTACAATTTACACTTCAGCAGGTTAAAAGTGTGCCAGAATTCAGAATGAAGCTTTTAGAAATATTTCGGGCTGAGTTCAACAAAACATCCATGAAAGGGAAGTTCCCACTTGGTAACCCCCGAGAGCTGAACGCTCTAACATCCAGGCCAGCTGCACGTTCGTCTTGTTAAAACAACATAAACAAAAGGACCACCAGACCAGACTGTGTTTATTTGGTTTATGGATCTATTGTTATATTTTCATAATTGATTTTACACATGAAGCTCAGTTTTATTACATTTATGGGAAATGCAGTGTAATTGTGGTTGAACTCTGCTAGGGACTAAACAACATTTTGACTATTCCTTTAAATGTGTCAGCACTTAAACTGCTGGAATGCCCCTTTAAGTATCCTCATGACGATTGCTGTTAAAAGTAATACTGTTTTCTGGCTGTTAATTATTCTGTCAGTATTTGCCATGTTTTATTATTTTGATTGATTGTTAGTTGCAGTTTGTCTAATGATATCATGATGTCAAATTAAGAACAGAATAAAGGGAGCGGGATTTCTTTTTCTGGAAAAGTTGCTATACTTAATTTAAAGATATTTTATATTAGGCATATTTATTTACAATATTAATATGATCTACCTGATAATGGTTGTGTGGTCTGAAACGTCTTCTAAATACAGTTTAAACCAGCTTTAAGTGAGACAGTGTGCAGTGTTTCCCTCTGACACACTCGTCACACACTGAGATGTGCAGAGATACTTTTCACAATTAAATTAGACATTGTTGAAAAGTCAAAACTGTTTTGCAACGGCACTACAGTTCTTAGAAAGAAAGATGAATGGTGTTGTCTGGTGGCTGACATCAATGGGAAAAAAAACAAAACCAGGCTGTTGCTTGTTTATTGATGTTCCTATTTAGATGTGTTGGGTTGCTTGCAGGTAATAAAGCCCTGTAGGAGAAATGTAGAAAACTGTTACACAGGATATTTGCATTGTATGTAACATAAACACACTGTTTGTTGTTTTGCAGGAGGGAACCTCCAAGTTTGCCACTTTGGAAATCAACCCCAAACGAGCTCAGAGGAGACACCAGCAGCAGAGAGACCTGGTGAGAACAAAAACTAAAAACTAACTTGACTGCTTCACTATGTTGTACTCACACACCGGCTGTGTGCAGCGCTGAGCAATGAGCAGTATCAAGTGTGTGCCAACAGCCCCATCTAGTGGCAAGTGAGGGTGCTGCAGTCCTCCCAGTCTGAGTAGAAAGAGGCGTACCTGCAAAACATGACTTCTGTCTGATGCTTTTCTGTACCACTCTAACTTCAATGATCCTACCCAGAAGACAATGTCTCTGTTTCTTAGTACCACTATATTAAAAATGTCTCTGAAGCGTTGTTTTCTCGCTCAGCTTCCATGTTTTCCTCCACTAATGTGCCCTCTGTCCCTCTGTGAACAGGGAGTGATGCAGGGGACAATTCCCTACCTGGGGACCTTTCTGACGGACCTGGTGATGATGGACACTGCCATGAAGGATTACACTGAGGTCAGAAACCTGAGTTTTTACTGTCATACATTTTATTTTTTACCTTATCTTTATTTTTTTTTTATCATAACTTTCTAATGTTTTTTTATCTCCTTTTTCAGGGTGGTCTGATCAACTTCGAAAAGAGAAGAAAGGTGAATGAAATGTTTTTATTTGGTTGTAATTGCCTGAATTAACTTCACAGAAAAACAAATAAAAAAACATCTCTACAGGTGTGATCAAAACAGATAAAAAACAAATCAGGCAACTCAAAATCCTTTTCTTTTGCTCTGTTCTCTGCTTTCAGGAGTTTGAGGTGATTGCTCAGATCAAACTGCTCCAGTTGGCCTCCAACAACTACAGTTTCACTCAGGACAGCCACTTCAGAGAGTGGTTCGCAGGCGTGGAGAAACTCAGCGAGGCAGAGAGGTTAGTCCTTCTGTCTCAACAATGTGTGTCCCCTCAGGCGAGCACCAAATCAAATGAGGACCAGATACAATCTTACTGTGTGTGCTGTTGAAGGATCCCAATTGTTTGCAGTCTCATCCATTCACTGCTAGTTGTTTTCAACAGTTGACCTCACTTTAAAGTTCACTCTCTTCATTGTGTCTGAATCGACCATCTTTTCCAGATCTAGTGTTTTTTGATTTGCAGCACAAATTAGCAAGTGTTTTTAATGTATTTCTGTTTTGATACAAGAACACATCCACTGAGTATGTTTTCCTCAGTTATTCCATATGTGCTCCTCTTTGACTGTATAAACTAAAACATATGTTTTTGCTAGTGTAAATGGTGATTCCAGTATGTGTAGGGTGTCCTTGTAGGTTTCAATAATCTTGATGCTGTTCCCAGCTTTTGGGAAGTAGATTTTTACTTTTTACAGAAGCCTGCTGAAGAAAGAAAAAAGTGACTCTGGTTTTGCATTTGCCCACATAAAATTCCAAATAATGAAGAGCAGATTCAGTTTGCCTCCGTCCAGAGAAAGCTGCATCACTAGTTAATCACAGAATGAAGTAACTGTCCAGCATTCAGGATTGTCCTCTGTTTACTGACATATCGGTGAAGAATATCTGGAAACAGAATTGGCAGGATGGCTGTGAATAACTAGGTCGTCCTGTTTCCTTGAGACGAGTTCAAATGTAACATTGTGATCATCCCGACTTCCTGTCCCTGCAGCTACAATCTGTCCTGTGAGATCGAGCCACTGTCAGAGTCAGCCAGCAACACGCTCCGAGCTAAGAAGAACGGAGGAATCATGAAACGCTGGAGCGAGTAAGTGACCATGTTGATCAAAACTGAGGAGCAGAAAGTGCTGTTAAGAGAGAGACTCGGGGTTGTTCTTTCTTTAGTATAATGACTGTTTAAAACTCTTCCTCTGTACTTCTTGTCTGTCCAGCCGGCAGTTGACGGAGGCTGGCTGCAGCAGCGCCCCAGGCTCTCATTCCAAGTCCTTCGACCACTCGCACTACAGACCGTACCAAGGAGGCGGGGGGGACAGCGGTGACGCCCTCAGCGTCACCTCTGTCAGCTCCAGTGGTTCAGACCTGGAGGACGTAAACGCCAGCTTCCTGTCCGATTCTCCGGAGGGACATGAGAGAAAGGTAAGGAAGACAGACGGGATAGTAAAACAGTACAGGGATATTTCATATTAGATATCAGAAAGCTTGGTTGCTCTATTTTTGGCTTAAATGGCTGGTGACATCACCTCCTAGCAGCCAATTATATGCGAGAGTTGCATGTTCACCTGTGTGGCTGTTTGGTTATGGGTGCTGTTTTCTTCACTCTCTCTCTGTTAGACGTCGACTCCTTCAGTGAAACTTACCGTCTCTGCTTTGGGGAGAGAAGCTCCAACAGCAGATACAACGTCAACGGTAACAAGTTTGACTTTTATTTTTGCATGTTAACGTAAGTGAAATGTCTGTCAGTCACTTAAACAATCAGTTACCCTACAGAAAATTAATGGACATGATTTTGATGAAAAATGATAAAAAATACTCAAATATGATGATTTCTATCTGTTTTATAACATTGTAAATGTCTTTGAGTTTGTCACGTCACTTTGGGGATTTATTACATTTTACAGCCTAAATGATTGATCTCTTTAAGAAGTACCCCAGCAGTTCAGTCTTTTACTTCCATAAAACTTAAAATAATAAATAACTTAAATTAACCAGTAGAGTGTTAGTCCCTCTTAGGGTCAAGCTTGAGAAACACTGATCTTACATTTCCCATAATGCAGTCACATCTCTTCATTAGACCTTATAAATAAATGGTAAAAGGCCCACATCACCTAATATAAATTTCAGCCTCCTGTCTTGTAGTGTTTTATCCTCACCACCCCCTCTGCTCTCCTGTAATTCTGTTCAGTTCTGGGAGTGTACGTCTCTGTCGTCTCTGGACACCTCCGGCACGGGCTCCAGCTCTGGCTCGGCGTCCGGCTCCAGCAGCGCCTCCTCCTCCTCCGTCTCCTGCTCCACCCCGCTGTCTGCCTCCCGCTCACACAAACGCTCGGTGTCGGCGGTGTCGAACTACTCGACTCTGTCGCTGCCGCTGTACAACCAGCAGGTCGACGACTGCTGCATCATCAGGGTCAGCCTGGACGTGGAGAACGGAAACATGTACAAGAGCATCCTGGTGAGTTCATTTCCCTTTTTTGAAGCAATGAGCATAAAACGTCACAAAGTCCTTGTTGTCAGCTACATTAGTGCTCATTAACAAATAGTAGGATAATAAGTGCTTAGTAAAAACAAGGTTTCATATCCAAATATAATAACATTCACAGTTTTTACATAATAGGTTGTAAAATTGTATGAAGAATTTATAAAACTACTATATTAGTAGATAATTAGAATGAAAACACCCAAAATACACTGTAACAAACCAAACAGCTTCTCATTTGCTAAAGTCCTAGTTTCAAAAGCTTTAAACCTGTATGTGTGGTCTGCTGCAACACGACTTAAAATGACATGCCTCTCTCTTCGTAGTTGAGTTTTTCACAATATAAAACAGCAGCAAAGGAATATATGAGAAATGATTATTTGTCCCTTGATTCAGGTGACGAGTCAAGACAAGACTCCAGCCGTCATCAGGAAGGCCATGATCAAACACAACTTGGAGCGGGAGAAGACGGAGGACTATGAGCTGATGCAGAAAATCTCTGAGGACAAAGGTAAAAACTAAAAACACTCAACAGTGGCTGAATCTTATCTGTAATTACATACTTTGTGTTTTTCACTCTCCTTTTTTTCATTGTCCTAAAAACTGTCCTAAAAAATAGTTTTACAAAGAACAGGTTTTCTAGGGTGTTTTTTGGGAGGGATGAATCTTTTCATCATTTCATTTCACCAGATATTTTCATCTAATAAATTTAACCTCATAAAGAATTTCTATTGGAACAACCACCGCCAAAAATGAAAATAAATAAAGATTGCAGTGTAACTGCTCCCTCCTCGACAAAGAAAAGAAAAGTGCTTTTCTGTTATTTTGTAAAAATGTTTTCAGTTTTTTGGTGGATAACAGTGATACAATGTCTACTGGGCGCTGGGAGATTTGTTTTTATCTTGTGTGCACAAATCAATATCTTGTAATCTTTTTAATACCTTGTTCTGAGGATTAAACAAAATACCCTTTTGGGATTGTCTGAATCAGAACAGATATCCAGTATTTGTTTGAGGAAGAATAAATCCTTATGTTCATAATTTCTGATTCATTTTCATTTCATTTCTCCTCAACACAAAACATTTGTACCAGATTTGTTTTGACTGACTACATGTTTCTTTGTCTCTCATCTGGTTCTGTAGAGCTTCGGATCCCGGACAACGCCAACGTTTTCTATGCCATGAACTCCACTGCCAACTACGACTTTGTCCTGAAGAAGCGCGGCTTGGCCCGGCCGGTGCGGGCCAAGAACGTGGCCAGTTCGACGCTGCCTCGCATGAAACAGAAGGGACTGAAAATCGCTAAAGGGATTTTCTAAGGAGAAACGTGCCACTTCCTGCCTCCCCTCCACCCCCTTAACCCTCTCTGGTCTCCACTTCTCAGAAGAAACATTTCTGTTCAGGTCTCTCTTTGAGGCAAACTAACCTGAAGTATCTGAGTTTTGGTTTGGACAAAGACTGAGATGCCAGAGGAGATGATATAAATGACCAAGTAACCTTTCTGTGGATTAACAGAAAGCAGAGGAGCACCTTAGCACTTAGTAAAAGCTGTGTCATCAGGACCCTCCGAGGACGTTAAAAGGCTGAGTTTGTCGCAGGAAATTCTTAGAGGTTGTTTCCGTAAGTGACAACCGAAGGACCCGTTCGTGGGGAAAAACAAACAGCTGCGTTGGTGTCAGGCGGCGAAATTTACTTCACATGACTGGTTGTGTCGGCTTGTGGGAAATCAGATCCATCTTGTTTCCCGGTTCATTACTTTTTGTTTACAATTGTTTACATCCTAACATCACTCGGTCAGCTCTTAAACATTTTTGTTCAAGCCTCTGGTTCACGAGAGGATATTCGCACCTTCGATAAAACTATTTTTTAAAACCCCAGATTCCCCCCCCCCCCCGGATTGCGGTCCCCCCCCGCATCCCTGTATTTTACTCTTCGGACTTCATGCACGCCCCCTCCTGGCATGGAGTGTACATAAACGAACAATACGACGCCACAGCGAGTAAACACAGACATGTGTAACAGCTGGGTGTTCGAATGTGTTTCTATTTTTTCAGGGAACTTTTGTTGTGACTGTACCGCCGCCTTTACCGTCTCGCCCCGGGGTTCCTGATGTCGTCAGTGTTTCTGGGACTGCAGCACTGAACGTTTCGCTCTCCGCTCTCGGACGCTGGGACTCATTTCAGCATTTTAACACCAGCAACGCTGACGTGAAGGGACCTGAACTCTTTTAGCTTCTGAATGCTGCCATGTTACAAAAAAAAAGCAAAAAGGTCAAGCAGTCTGAAACGGAGACATGTTGTCAAAATCCAGTGGGCACAGCCATTCATTCTTTTTTCTTTTTTAAATTAATGAATTGTAACCACTACACCGTGAAGGATGTGGCAGTCCTTTGACCGCACTTGATTCTGACAGAAGAAGACTGAGAGAAGAACAAGAGAGCTGAAAACAAAAAAAAACTGAGTGTATATATCAATTAATACCAACAGTGCAGTATATTCTTTTGAAACGGACCATGAGATTTTGTTAATAGACTCGTCACGATATCAACGCTTTTTTCATTTTGCTTTGTACATTGTTTTGCATCTCTCTAATCTGATATGGTGCTGCTAATTATCCTTCTGAAGAGGTCTTACGAGCTGCACTTTCTCTTCTTCCTGACCACCACTCCCCTTGTTGGAAGACAGAAACAGAAACATCTCTTCTTACCTGCTGAGTGAGGCATTTTAATGTCATGTTTGCTGTTTTCAGAAAATTGTATTTAATATAAACATACAAACAAAAAGTTAAGAATGATAAAAAAAGGAGGGAAATTATTTTAATGTCAGCAGCTCTTTAGTGAAGGCTGGCTTACTGCACCAATTTAATGTTATGTATTCAAATGTGTTATTTTATATTAGGACAATATCCTTTGGGGTGGGATGTACCATCTTGTGTTCCCAAAATACTGCAGGAGAAAAAACTCTGGGATACAAAAGGTATTTATGAAAGAATAAATAATAATAATAAACTACATAAAATAATCAATAAACACCAGATATTGCATCAGATTCCCAGGTTTCTTTCTGGCAAAAGAACTATTTTCCAAGTTTCCGTTAACAGCAAACTGATATTTTGCTTTAACCCTGGACCATACCATTTCATGGGAAGAGTGTGGTTTCTTCCAACATGGTGGATCATCCTTCATATCTTATTATTAACCACTTTCCAAATGTGCCATGACAGGCTTGTGTGTTGCAGACGCACCCGACGAGTCCTGCTGATTTATCCTGCAGGACGTTTTCTTGCGGTGTCGGCTGTGGTTTTACGTGCCGGTGATGACAGCAGAGTCTTTCCTTGCTGGGCTCTCTTACAGAAAGTGTGGAATGGATGGGTTTTAATTATTTCCAGACCTGGAAAACTAGTCAAAATACAGAAAAGCTCCTTAAATCATGCTGTAAAATGTGGAGTCTGGAATAGTTTTGAATGCGGCTGTGCGTAGGAGCCCAGATGGACTATGGTGATCCTTATAAACTGCACATGAGGGAACGTCTCTGTGCTGTCCATAATCAGTTTCTTTAGAGGAAAAATCCAACCTAAAACACCTTATCACTTAAAAAAGCAGTCGTTTTTGGGGATCCATATTTCTTTTATTCCCATGGATAAAAAGTGATGTCACATTGTTGAAATATTTTTAAAGGGCTTCTTTTTGCAGCTTCTCTCCGTTTGCACTCCATTCTAATTTACATTTGCAGTTCACTAGAATGACTACAGTGGTATTTTTTTTTGTCTTTTTGCTCTAAAGAGACACGATATGTCTGACAAATGTCACACTAACTCGGGTAACATTGGCTGGGGTTGCTGGAATAAGTATTTCCAGCTCCATTAAGAAGCAGGACAGAGCTGCTAACATTAGCCTAAACTCTGATAGCATCCAGGACCTTTATTTGACCTAACCCACAAACTAATGTTTATTAATGATGTGCTCCTTGGCCCTGAAAGTAACACTCAGTTACCACTGTAGGTTTTAAGCTAGCCAGGCGGACATGCTAACGTTAGCAGCTTATTGCATTTCCTACACTATTGCTTTTGTGTTTTTGGTTTTAGAAAGGCAAAAAAAAAAAACTCTCCGAGTCCTGTTTCATAGCCTTCTGGGAAAATGTAGTAAATTGTTGATTAAGGGAAAGAAAAACACTTTATGAAATTTAAGGTTGGATTTTTCCTGAGTTGCTCATATCACCGTAACAAAACACTAGATTCGCTTGGATTGCACTGCGACCATGTATTGCCTTTTTTGTTATTTTCACCTGCATGAAGTTCATAATTCTCTAAACGATCAAATGAATGAATCGCTCAAAAAAAAAGAAAAAAACCCCGCGGAGGCAATATGATGACGAGCGGCAGGAGGCACGTCGTCTGGCTGTCGTGGATGTTGTTCGTGCCACTGTGGCGTGAAATCCTTCGCTGTTGAACACTGTGACCTTTGACCCTTTCACTCTGCCCTCTCTGCCTGTTGATCGGCGCGTCATGTTGAGCACTGTGAACTTTTAAAAAAAAGCGTCTCGTTCCCCGTTAATGGTGTCATAGTGAACATCCGTAACGCCACAGGCTTGACCCTACATGTGCCAAAAATACAAGGAAAGAGAAAAAGGTTGTTTGTAACAGATGAGTCCTCTGCCTTTCACAGTGAAAAAAATCAAGTTTGTATGTTTACTGTTGTTGCATTTTTCTGGAAAACAAAAAAAAAGGGTGAGAACACTATGATGTCTGGACCCATTTCCCTGTGGAGAATTAGACTGTCGTCCAAGAAACTTGAAGCAAAGATGTTTGTCAGGAGCTGCAGATGAAGCTGTTGTAGAAATCCCGCTTTCATGAGTTTATCCTCCTATTCATGTTTTAATGTCTTTTAAGATCAAACAGCTGCCAAATTTGCAAATGTTCAAAACTGGACTGTCTTTTGCCATCAAAACCAGACGTTTTTTTAACCATAAATCAGGTTTTTATTCCAACCAAACTATATCTGATGTGCTTTCACTGAAGAATGAAGCAGCCAACTTCTGGTTGAGTTATATGAAAAAAACAAAGACTCACTCACTTTATTAACTGTTTTTGGACAAAAGTGTCATTAATTAAGTGAGTAGAAGTGGTCAGTGGTTTCGTAAGTTTTGGATACTGCATGTGTGTGTAAGATATGTTTGCTTAATTTTGATTTCAGGGATGAAAACCACTTGAAAACCAAACAGAGCAGTGTTACAAACAAATATCAATGCAGTGCAGGGCCTTTTTTTCTTCTGTTAAAAGTATTGAGACATTTGCTTTCAGTGGTATGTTAGAGTTCCTCCATTCTTTCAGAGCAACTACCTACAGTTTGCAACAGGACCTTCAGTGCACCGTAATGTTTGTAAAAAGGTGTTTTGATACCTCCTACTTGATGTCACAAATCCTTGAATGTCTGTCAATACGTCTCCTACTGAAGACGTACTGTAAATCTTTTAAAAACAAATAGATCTTTTTTTAAAAATAGGCTCAGTATTTTCCGAAAATAGCTAGTCAAACATACTTTGAACGCAAAGTACGTTCCCTTTCTGTAGTGTTTTGGTTGGAACAAAAACTTTAATATTATCGGGCCTGTAATTGAAAAACAATGTCTGTCCCCTGTTCCAGTGATTCCTAGTTTTCCCAGTTTTCCCAGTTGAACACAGCAAAGGGAGCGTTTCTGCAGCAGCTCCGTCTCTACTTTAAGTGTGCTTTTGTTCTCTGAGAACATAAACTGTGCAGAGTGGAACTTTAAATGAATTTCCTGGCCCGGCGAGCGTTTTATGTGCCGATGAGGTTGGTGTTGGACTGGTCTGTGTGTCGTCGTAGCCGTGTTGACAATGACGTACCTTTTGTGATTTGACCTGATTCTGTGCGAGTTTGAACAAAAATGCTGCGTTTAAAAAGAAAAAAAAACTAAAAACTGGAAACCAGCTGGCGTGGTGTGTGTTTTTATTTTAGTTTTTGTTTCGTTTTTTTCCCCCTGAACTGTGCTCGGGTGCCATTTTCCATTTTAACTTTTTCTAACTGCAGTCTCTTCTTTATTTTACTTTTCCTACTTTTCCCAAGAACACAGAACACATGTAGAATATAAAACTGTCCTTGGTTATGTCTTTGTTTATTTATTGATTTGTATATAGAGATTTTGTTTTGCATTGTACATTCTCTCCTTTCTTGGTTATAGATTAATATATTCATGTATATATGAATAAACATTAAGTTTATAAAAGTAATAAGACTCTTTTCTCTTTATTATTGCTTTCTTTGTGTAAAGATTAAGGAACTGAGTTGGGAATCTACTTCTGGAGAGTCTCTGCATGTCACAATAACTGAAGTAAATTGCACAATAGCTTATTACTGGCTTTCAGTTTTAGGCTGAAAATAACGACTTGACTTGAGCTCAAATAAAAAAAATCTAATTCTGTAATTATTATGGATGTTATACTTGTAAAAGGGATTGTAAAATAAAATAAAAGGAAAGTTCCCTGGCAGCAGGCACCTTTGTTGCATCTTATCCATCTCACACTCTCCTCTGCTATTAAACGAAGTCATAAAATGCCTCCAAAATACTTATAAATACAAGGAAAATTTAAAAAATGAATGATTGGAAGTGCAAAAAGGATTGTATATTACAGAACTAATTACACATTCAGCTCATATTAAGTTAGATATATTAAGAAGATTGTATAACTTCTATGTTAGTTAGGCCAGCTGAATGGAGCCATTACAGTTTCATTTAGAGGATCTGATGTGTTGATTGGTTTATTACTTATTATTGATTAATGCGATCACACATCTATGACAGCGAATGACGAATTCATATGTTAGTGGAACGTCATCTATCAGCGACAGGACGGTCTTGTCTCCGGCG